CGAATACCATGGATATATCAAAGTGAGATGGAAGTCTAAAACACTTTTTATGCCCTTTTAGACTTTGGTCCGGCCGGTGCTTTTTTACTTTAACCTGTCCACGGGCAATTTTATTAGTCCGTCAAAAATAACAAGAGGCCCATGGGCCACATTGCTCACCTGAGTAACTTGGGTGATGCAGATCTTTTTAAAAGATGCTTCCACATAAGTTTCAGCTTTCCTGGCCCAGAGGTTCTTGAGAAGAAGTTTTTTAAAAATTTATTCTATATATTTCTAGGTTAAACTTTGATTCCCTATTGTTGCCCCGCCCTACCTCCGGGGGTCATGATTTAAACAATTTAATATTTACACTACCCAAGGATACTTCCACATAAGTTTCAGCTTTCCTGGCCCAGTGGTTCTTGAGAAGAAGATTTTTAAAGATTTATTCTATATATATCTATGTAAAAATTGGATTCCCTATTGTGGCTCCGCCCTACCCCCGGGGGTCATGATTTTTACAATTTAATATCTACACTATCAAAGGATGCTTCCACATAAGTTTCAGCTTTTCCTGGCCCAGTGGTTCTTGAGAAGAAGATTTTTAAAGATTTGTTCTATATGTTTCTATGTAAAACTTGGATTCCCTATTGTGGCCCCGCCCTACCCCTGGGGGTCATAATTTTTTTAATTTGATATCTACACTACCCAAGGATGCTTCCATATAAGTTTCAGCTTTCCTGGCCAAGTGGTTCTTGAGAAGAAGATTTTCAAAGATTTGTTCTATATATTTCTTTGTAAAACTCGGATTCCCTATTGTGGCCCCGCCCTACCCCCGGGGGGTCATGATTTTTACAATTTAATATCTACACTACCCCAGGATGCTCCCACATAAGTTTCAGCTTTTCTGGCTCAGTGGTTCTTGAGAAGAAGATTTTTTAATGACCCCACCCTATTTTCGTATTTTCTTGATTATCTCCCCTTGGAAGGGGTCTTGGCCCTTGATTTTAACAATCTAAATTCCCCTTCACCTAAGGATGCTTTGGACCAAGTTAGGTTAAAATTGGCCCAGTGGTTCTTGAGAAGAAGTTGAAAATGTGAAAAGTTTACAGACGGACGGACGACGGACGCCAGGTGATCAGAAAAGCTCACTTGAGCTTTCAGCTCAGGTGAGCTAAAAATGAATAAATAAAATTAATGTTGCAATATACTTTTTATACGTATTTGAAATAAACAAAGCATTTCGTAGTTGTTTATACCAAGAATTTGTTGAAATCATGCAATTAGGAACTACGATCGCATCCCCGATTTCAGTCATTTTTCTCTATACATTACTACATCATCTAAACTTCCGAAATATTTTTTTATGTGTCATATACTAAATCATTATCACTTAAATGTTTAATTTCATACCAATGAGTCCTAAAATTAAGCTCTAACTTCCCGCCAAGAAGCTAGAAAGTTAAAAATAAATATAGGTTTTTCCAGTGAAAGCTGTCGAAAATTTGAACATCGCTAATTTCTTTTTTCTCCCGAGAAAACTTTATTAGTCCGTTCGGACTAATTAGCTTAATTCAATTTTTATTGGTCCGAATGAAAATGTATGAGTCTGAGACTAACGGACTAACGTTAATGTCGAACCCTGACAGGTGTCTAATCCTTGTGACAAGACCTTTCTTTGGGTACCACAAGATTTGACCTCTTGACCTTGGAATTTTACTCAATTTTGCAAAAAATATTACACATTACTTTTGAACATTTGGTGCTAGGGCTTTCATTTGTCAATATGGGCATTCATTGAGACAAGACCATTCCATGGCTATAAATGTTTTTACCTTGACCTTAGAGTTTGATCAGCGAGCAAAACATTTAATGTAAAATAAAGATTATTTAGGATTTAGACACTCAATTTTGTCTTTGCTTGAACAGTTACTATATTAATGATATCAAATGTTATAGTTAAGAACAAACTAATTAGGTTTACTGAACATGCTTTGGTTATTGCAATATAGTGATATTTTCCTTCCTAATCTTAATTATTTGGTATTCATACCTGCAAGAACCTCTACTAATATGACTTTATAAGCTGTAACCTTTTTCATAACATAAGGAAACAATTATTTCAATGTTTGTGTGATTAAAGTCAATTCTAACTTGTAGATATTAAACATTGTTAAACATTTCCTTTTACAGAAGGTTTTTATAAATTTCTTCCTGTTTCTGAATTTCCTGCATATTAAATGTTAGATACACTGTGTAAATTTGAAGCAAGAAAAACGTTGAGAAATTAAGTTTGAGTTTTTCTATTTTATCATTCTGGATTATTTTTTTTATTAGGATAAAAATCATATATATATAATCTCAAAAAGGTTTGCTATGATTAATTTGGTCGTAAGTTATTTCCAGTGTATTTTATTCTGTATTCTTCAAAATCATTTGGTAGCGGATCCGCTGTGCTACGGGACATATTCTAATTGTGGTGAGGGGCTGAGAGCTTGTCCTGCCCAGGAAACAGTCAGATTATTCAAACTAAATTGTTCCCAGCTTGTTTAAATGCCTTAATGCTACAAAAATATATATAGAGTTAAACAATGCCATAGACGGCAAAGCAATCAACCTGATGTATTTCTGTGTGGAGTCACTAACAAATCCGATTTTACCGTGCCTTACAGTTGTACAAAAGCATTATAATAAGCTAACTGATGCGAGTTCTTGAGAACATAAGCTCCACCAGGAACCAAAAGGAATGACGATGATGTGAGTTCTACTTCATATAATTAATTACCTATGAGGAAACTCACTGGGTCATTCAATGCATCCCCACCACTACCCCCCAGCCTTCTACTGCGCCCTCCCTTTACCAGGTCCAGTACAATCTCTTTATTTAGCTATATAGCTTTAAATAGCTTTATAGCTTTATCAAGCTATTCAGTATAGCTTAATTTAGCTATTTTACTGTACTTTTTTCTCAAAGGTGTAATTTTCTCAGTATGTACAAAAAAGCGCACCTTGGTGCAGTGATGAAATACAACTTTGAACTCTTCTTAAAATAATGCATGTAAAATTCACTCATCAAATTACGTCTCCTTGAGAGACTTTGTAATCAAAGTTCTACAAGTTTTGGGGCTATATAAAGCAATTGATACAGTTACTTCTGCAATGATATTATAATGGAGACCAATTATGTTCAACAAGATAATTGATTGGTAACAGTTCAGCACAATGAGAAGCAATCATGCCTCAAGGCACCCAAGGTAGTGGACAGTTAGTCTAACAATAGATATTCTCTTTTTGCTTAAAAGTATTCAAAAGCTGCAAAGTTAGAACTATCCTTGATTTTGGTTGTTCTTTTGATAGCCCATAGTTGAAATATGAAGAGTCAAATACATGCGACTTTTTGTTTATTTTCAGCTAAAAACATTTTTGTGAAAAACTGTATAAAAATAGCTGAATAAAGCTATTTTGAATAGCTTAATAAAGCTATATAGCTATTTAAAGCTATATAGCTAAATCAGGAGATTGTACTGGACCTGTTTACGAAATTCCTAGATCCGCCACTATAAAGTTCTACATCGTATAATTGTTTACCTATGAGGAGAACCTGTCCGCGTCCATGGACCGTGACGATGAAATCATGCGTGACATCCCTAATCGTATACAAGTCTTTTGTTCTCCCAGAATCTGTCATTTTACCATAGACATATAGAGAGGGACCGCTGACTCATTTTCCCGCCAAATTATCTTCATGTTTTCGCAGCGCCCTCACCGGGAGGCATAGAAAGACTTCTTGTCAATATGGCCGAGAACCAAATAGACGATATTGCTGATGTATTTGAGGTAAATTATCTGAATCAAAGAATTATTTTGCTTATCCAACAGGTTATAAATGTCTTTAATTATCTTCAAAAGATAAATTTAAATTCTTTTTTATATATCAGTTACTTTTTAACATAAATTTGCTCGAGACTGTCAGACCTCATGGCACGACCACGAGGCGTAAACACGTTAAACAAAGTTTATTAGAACTACGTATTTATATATATTTTAACTTTAAAAGTGATAACGATGATTAATTAATCATAATTAAAAAATATAGGAAATCATGGGAGACGACTTTGATGAACCAGCCATATCTGCGAAGAATGCTGGTGACCACATAGTACATGTAAATGTTGCATTGGTAGAACGAGTCATGGGTGGAATCAAAAGTGATGCTCTTTTACCTGACCATTTTAGAACACTACTTGATTCTACAACGGGTAATTATTAAGTTCTTCATTTGAAACGGCTTTGATAAGTTTTTTTTTGCATTAAATGTTGCAGTTTCTGTTTATTTAAGAAATAAACAACAGTTTGATCATATCCTGTGAAGCCCAAAAGGGCTTCTCAGTAGATTTGATCACGCACCAACTAAAAGTTATTTTCCCAGTGAACTTTTTTAAATTGTTGTTTATTACTTTTAATTACATTTGAGACAAATAATTTCAAGTAAAATTGCATTTATACAAAAGGGTCGCCTTATTTTTATGTTGTGATATGCAGTGACCTAGATAATGTTTGATCAAAGTTAGTTTACCTTGCTCCAACATTTGAAAGTTTACTTTCATATTTAGCAGTCCAGCTCAGGAAATACCTGTATATAGTGAAAGAACAATGGTCACTGCTGAAAATAATCTTTCTCTTTCACAAGTTCTTAAAATATTTGAAGGCAAAAGTTATGGTATAGCCTGTTTTAGTTTATATATCTCCAAAGGAATTTCGGGTTAAAAAGGTATGTGTGCTTCTAGGCTAATTATAGTATTCAAAATGTACCTTATTCACATCAAAAGTGGGGAAATTTTTGTCTTAGTTGTCAGATTCATTGTGAAAAGGGCCACAATACAGCAGTTATTATGAAAGGGTCTTTTGCAGTTTTAATACGTGGCAGTACCGTGGAATACCTAGCTTGATTATTAAAAAGTGTACATGTACATCGCCATGGTGAATTTTACTTCAACAACCAAAAAAAAATGGAAAACCGAAATCTTGATGAATAAAAAACATAAATTTTAAGGTGGGAAGCATATAAACACAACTGTTACAATGAGCTGTGCCTTTTTGCAAGTTTTGTTAAGCGTTAAGCATTGAATTCATATTATGGGATGTCTTCACTCCTACAACACACCTGGCTGTGCTGACAAATTAAATACCGCACGTTAGCACAGTATGATAATTTGTCGGCACGGCCAGGTGTGTTATAGGACCAAAGACATCCCAAAATATGAATTCAATGCTTATATTTACATTCTTTAATTTTTTCTCTTTTTAATTGTTTATTTTAATTGGTAATCCTTAATCTGAATTTAGCGCCCTTCAAAACTGGTATGCTTTATAGACGTAAGAGCTGTTTGTGAAGTTTGTGAAGTCATAAATATAAATAACGCAAATGAACATTGTGAGAAAAAAATGACAAATTAATTTAAACACACATTTGTTGTATTTTCAACGTTAATTTAACGGTTAATCTATTTTATTAAATTGTGTCAAAACAATGTACATTTTGGTTGCCTAGAGTATTGAAAATGCGTCTAGTTTCTACTTTGTATTCTAACATGCGCTGACAAGGTTTCGCTGAAACCTGAAAAATGTGTGTTGAAGACATTTGAACGTCGTGGATTTCTAATGGATTTCGTAAAGGAAATTACACTGAATGTAAATATAAAAAAAATGTTTATCTTTTTTTGCATCATTAACACGAATTTTATTTGATTGTTAATATTATATCAGTGAGTTGTAGTTACAGTTACATTATAACAGTCATAATATAAAATAATTATTTGCACATTTTTCTTCTATTAATTACATGTCCTCCTAAAAGGGGAGATATACTTATGTAAATCTTAGTATTAAACATTGTCAAGTAAATTGCAAAGTAATTCATATATAAAAAGCAGAAATGCAAACACTATCTTATCAACTGTAAAAAATAATACATAAAATATGTATTTACAGCAGACCAGTTGATTCCAGCGTTAAAACTACTTGACCCTATTTTCAAGTCTGAAATCTTCTCCTCTTCAGCTAAGGAAAAGGCATGGCACAATTACCACCTTCTACAGCCATTACTTATAGATGAAATATTTAAAATTGTCAAAAATCGTCAGTTGTCAGCCCTTATCTCTTTAAAAACAGCGGAAGAAATCATGAAAAAAAATTCAGACCCTTTTCAATCTTCTCTAAACTCAAATGAGTTGAGATCTGGAGAGAGAGATATAGTTGCATATATTGCAGGGTTTGTTTTGTTTAGATGCAAAAAAAAATTTAGTTCATTTCCTGAAATTGAAAAATGTCTAGAAAAACTTGTCGACAAAGATGGGGCTACGAAATTGATTTCTGTTAAATCGAGAGGTGGATTAACTCAGCCATCCTCAGAAATTATAGCTTTTTTTGTAATTTTGGAGCTAGTCTTTAGAAACTTGTGTTCATCAATGTCAGTTCCTCTACTTCAAAAATTTACTGACTCTATTTGTTCAGAAAGCAAGGCTGTTTCAATTTTTTATGATTGTACTTATCATTCCGACTCAAAGTCTGAGGTTCAGGAGAAATTGTTTTTTACAATTTTGTCTACTTATCACAAAGTCAGATGTCATGCAAAATGCAGGCAAATGATGGAAAGATTCTATTTGAAAACAAAAACATCTAGCAAGCAAAAAGCTCTACGGAAATGTATTGACTAGTGTGTTTTTTGAAACATCCAGGAAGCTTTTAGCACTACTATGTCCATTAAAAAACCTGTTTTTTTTTTACCATGTTGACTTGACAAAATTATATAATATTGAGTTCATTTACTTCATTTAGGGTAATTGTCATATGAACTAGAGGAAAATTATCAGTAATAACAAAATATTAGTGAATGTAAATCTGTTATTTAATTTGAAATTTTAAATTTCATGCAAATAATGTTCATATACTTTATGTTGGTCTAATATGTTCAAAATACATTATCCATTTCATATTGTACCATTCCATTTTACATGAAAGGGCAGATCAGTCTAACTGCATACAACCAGTTACTAACATACAATTAGAATTTTAAAGTCTTCAGAGCCTCCTTAATTACTTAAAAGTTTTAAAAGCTTTACATTCCATCAGTATCTGTACATAAGAAGAAGATAACATACTTGTGAAATAACCCGTATACATGAGTATAGCTTATAAATATTTACATAATTATGTAACACTAAACAGTAGCATTCTCCAAACAACTCACTGCTTTTGAATTTCTTGGGGAAAATAATACACAAGCTCAAAATGCAATGTCCAATTGTATGATTAATTTCTTTTTATTCTCTTTAGTGGGGAGGTTGATATGACTGTCTGCCTTTTATCACCCCTCCCAGCTGTGTTGCCCTTTGGTACAATATTCATTGCTAGGCTCCTTTGCATTCTTAGCTGGTTTTCCTGGTAGCTTATAATGAGACATATGAAATATGTTTAAATAAATCCTCTGTTTAATAATTGGACTTTTTTTTAACATTTCATTTTCATTGTTTATATTTCTAAGTGGCACTAAAATTTAATAAAAATGCATTTTAAACTTTAATTTGTTTTAGGTTTATTATTTATACATGTATACAGAAACGAGGGATCTCATTTTTTTTTGATACTTTTTATATATTTATTTTCTTTTTAAAAATTTTTTGCAGATACCTGAACTGGTGTATAGTAGGGTTGTCGTGCCTAGCCCCAAGTCCTCTGTGCCTCCCAAAATGTTCCTCAAGGGGGTCTTGACAAAATACTTGACTTAACAAGTATGGAACACCTTGTTGAAGCAAATACTTGGTGGCATCAATAAAGGAATTGACTGCAAATAGTTAAACATATATTGAGGTCTTCATCGTAGAAAAGATCGAGCAGCTTAATGGTGACTGTTTTGTTCTGGTTTGAATTGTTCAGTAATGAAAATGTCTTACCAGTCATCACTATTCCTTCATGCGTCTGGGTCGAGAGGAACATTTTATTTTTTTCCTGTTTGGAAAAACCTTGTCTAGTCATGACAGCTTGCTTCCATTCTTCAAGATACCCCAAAAACACCGTCTTTAAAAACTGGAAAAGATTTTATACAGTTTTACATAAACCAGATGACTGTGGAATGAAGACAAAAGGAACATAAAAGGGATGCCCTGCACTATTTCACCTCAAATCTAGGGTCATCAGGCAAGGTGTATGCAGCTAGGTCAGATTTCCTTGTGCGAGTGGCCTCATGCAGGGAACGTCCATTAAGACAATCAAAAAATCTGTCCACTAACATGAAGAACTTGGATGTTTCACTCATCTCTGGGCCATAATAGGCAGACATTACAGAGGACACTGTGTGGCTTAAAACCTGTAGTAGATAGATCATTTTGTGGAAGACTTGTAAACAATATAGGCTAGAAATGATTTGTACAGTAAATGGTAAAGTGTTCCTGTGCTGCCAGACGAACATTCATGGTGGATGAAGGAGTGAGGTATATGTGGTCAAATCTGAGCTTTGTCCTGTAAAGTTGTCCCTGCATATCATCATTGTATACTTTCTCAACATGTGACCACAGGATGTTAGTGTTTTTCTAATTTCAAAATGAAAGAATAATAGCTTTCAGTAATAACCATAAGTAATGACAATTACCTTTCTCATGATCTCTCCAGGGCTAAAAGTTACGGTAATCAACAGATTTTTTTTAATTTTTTTTGCTTCTAAGTACATGTACTCACCCAAAGATACCTAGTCCCACCTGTGTGTGACTTGTATACATTGTTTCTGATCGTCTTGATCAGATGTGGGACGTCTGAGAAGAAATAAACAAATCTCTTCTCCATGGCATATGGGTTGTCAGCTCTATAAACGACCTCTTCATTCCCAGTCCTATGGAGCCTGTAAAGTCTTTGATTTGGAGATGCCTTGTCGCTTGTCGATGAAATGACCTATATACATTAAGTCTGATTAAGGTATATGCTTTGGTTTGTGAGTATCTAATACCCCTTCTGAACATAAATCATTCAACTAAGATATCATGTTATTGTTAGGAGAAAAGTCTAAAAATAATTGAATCTGTCCTGATAATTAACTTCAGCTCTGACATTAATCAGAAAATTAACTCCAGGTAAAAAAAAATTTACCGGTACCATAGTTTTTCAAAACTTTTAGGTAGTCTATTATGTGTTTGACATTTTCCAGGTAAAACTGCATTTTTTTTACTGTGTATACTATCAATATATGTTCATGTAATATTTGTAGTGTGGATCCACTTTTATGAAAACTGGCAGTTCACCTTCAAACCACTGGTAATCTCCAGATAAGCTATTGCTTTCCACAGTAAGGGATAAAGCTCATCAGCAGTGGAAGATCTGGTTGGGAAGTGCCCAATACTCATTTTGATGTGGGAATTGATGCCTACCACCATAAACACTAAGACTTGAGTGGCAATTCTCTTTGTTTCATCCTACATTTCAGAAGAAAGGTAAAGAAATTATAAGTGGATTTGTGATGCGTTGTATTTTATTACAGCAATGAATGGGATTTTGCATCACTAATTATTGAAATTTTATCATTTTTATGACTTTCTTTCACAGAGAGAATTTTATTCAACCTCATTAAAAGACCAAGTGTCCGGATTGGTGAATCCAACAACTTGATTGCTCCTTCTATCGTAAACAAGGTCTGCCTTAACTTTCATCTCGTCATGCAGCAAACAAACAAACTTTTTTTCTGATGGTAAATCAGCAGCTATCTTTTTCAGCTCCTTTAACCAAATATTTTATTGAAAGATCAACATAAGCACTGCAATGGCATGTATCTTCACTGTAACTATATCACTGTTTTCACCTTATCTGTATCAGTTTCAAACACATGAACTTTAAATATGTTTTGAATACTTTGACTCTTGTATTCAATATATTTATTACATTATGTTTGAAATATTAAACATTTCACCTGCAATGCTTCAGCCTGAAAACCAGAATGTGGCTGGATGAAGTTTGTGTAGTCCCGAAGTGTAGCCTGGTTTGGAAGTTTCAGAACACCACTTTCTCTGAGAGACTCATAGGCCTTTGGACTTTGGCACCGAAGAAATATGGCAAACCTTATCATCATTGGATGCCATCTCATACCTGATTTGTGGTATTAGGTATTATTATCATGCTTCCTTCAAAGACTATGGAATATTACTTTGCAAAGGTTTTTGACAAAAAATGAACAGTCTGTATATTCATACGAAGGGGGGAAAAACTTAGAAATTGGCAAGGTTCTTAGCATCGTCACAAACCACGGCCAAAATGTACGATCCTCTCCCATTCTGGCCGTGGTTGAACGAGCAGAGAATTCTTCGTAGCTCATTAAAATATTGACCAATGTGAGAAAACCATAGTCGGATGATGAACTTTATTGCGACCTTTCAATGTCCAATCGCAGTATAGAAAATTTTTCTTGTACACTGTTGAAGTCAGTTGTTGATTTCAATTGCAATGGAAACAAAACTTGCCACAGACTGAATATGAAGTCACAGTAGAGAGGCGTAAATATTTAAGAAATAAGGTATCATTTCTTGAGTTTTATTGGGATGTAAAACAGGTTGGTCACGAGATCAAATCCCATAAAGCCCAAAGGGCTTTAATTTGGGCTTTATGGGAGATTTGATCATGTGCCAACCTGTTTTACATCCCAATAAAACTCAAAAAATGATACCTTATTACTTATAATTACATTTGTGACTTATTCGTACTCTTTAAATTTGCCTGATTGTCACTTTTAACGTGTGAAATGCATTATTTTCCCGTGGGAATCTGGGTTAGAATAGGTCCTCAGTACCCCCTTGCTTGTCGTAAAAGGCGACTAAATGGGGCGGTTCTTCGGATGAGACCGTATTAACCGAGGCCCCATGTCACAGCAGGTGTGGCACGCTAAAGATCCTTCCCTGCTCAGTAAGTTCCGAGCATAGGCATAAATTTGCAGCCCTTCACCAGCAATGGTGACGTCTCCATATCAGTGAAATATTCTGGAGAGGGACGTTAAACAGTATACAATCAATCAATCATATCTAACGGCATGTATGTAATCCACTGAACTAGTGTCAACCCTTTATGACGTCACTGAGAAAATTACGTCGACCGTTTATCCATGCGCGCGTCTATGACCTCTTGACCCCGTTCTTGTATTTATACAGTTATAAATAAGCTTGCTTTCAGTAGGGTTATATAAAGGAAAACATTTGCAAATGTAATTATTCAAGATTACAACACTTTTTGTGATCAAGCAGCCACAGGAGGAGAGAGCTATAAATGCGGACTCTGGACCGTGGCTTGAGACGATGGGTTCCTAGTTATTGTAAAGAATTTTTAAAGAACTCTTGAATAGGTTAAATTGTATTAAATATACTTGCCAGTGTCCTTAACAATTTTATGTGGACAAATATTACTTTGCAGATTGTGTGAATTAGATATATATGTTGATTCTGTACCTTTTGGATTTGTTTTAAATGCTTTCTTTTGTTCTTCCCAGAAAAGGTCCATCAAACTATTTTCTGCTGGTTTGTGGTTTTGCAGTGTAGCAAATAGCCCCTCTCCAACGTCCTCAGCAACAGCAGCTGTCTCACCTTTCATGGTGATCAAAGTAAGATATTTCATATTATTCTTCTTCAGAATTATACAGTTTTTCTGAATAGTTAAGAGCATGCTAAGTAAGGGGGACAATTTGTGATGTCTCTCTTGCGCTTGGTGATAACTGCTAACTCCATTTAGATGAAAATAAGTGTCATGAGTGAGATAACTCAATATATAACTTATAATGTTATAATGACATAATGCCTCCCATGTAAACAGTCCAGAATTGTATTTTATTTAAGGAGTGAAGCTTTATTTAACTTGGATTATATGATATAACATAAGTTGGGGCATTTTACGCTTTACAATTAAGTGTGAAATATTTGATAGCTATATAAAACCTAATATGTAGAAAAAAATTCTCATGAGGTTTGAAATGACTTTTATATAGAGTGTGTGTTTTCTATCCCTGTGCTTAGACAAAATCAAAAACCATAAGAGATAATAAATTTATTATATTGTACGTAACTACATTTTGTAACCTCTCAAGGAATGCATATAGCATATTTGCCAGTCTTGCCTGGAAGTTCCAAGTTATTACAACTGAAAATAGTTTCTTCTTTAGAAATATTTTGTGTTTTGGACTACAGTAGTTTCTTTTGAACAGTATTTGGAACTGAGAATGCTTTAATTGTGGTTGGATAATAGATAAAAATGTGTTAATGTAATCCATTGCTTTCATCCCAAAATGACATGCAAGAATGTATCAATCTTCTTTGCTTTACATCTTCATTTTATTAGTTCAAGCTGAAAATCACTATTAAAAGGGCATACACCATTTCAATATTACCATCTACAATATCAGCACATCAATACTAGGGTATACTCTTCACATTTGTTACACCTGACTGCCATATTGTCACAGCCATGGGCTTGGAATGGTGACCCATGTTCGTGCTGGTTATTTTGCATTACCTTTGTGTAAATTTCATTGCAGTTATATACATGTATTTGTGTTTGTATACTACACTGACATTGCAACTCCTGCATTTAAAAAAGTAGTTATTTTTGTTGCTATCAAGTGTCCACACATACATCCATCTACAATAGTGACAATTGATTACATTGAACAGTGACAACATGAGTGGCTTTATGTAGGAGCCCTCAGATGTAGCGAGTTTCCAATAGAAAATGACGAAGAAATTCCGATAACATTTAACATTATGCAGATGATCTAGTGCTATCTTTATTTGTCCTTTGTTATGTGCTATACGTGTTTCTTGTGTAAAAAGGATTTATCATTTTCAACCTATTGCCTTGTAATGTTTGGTGCTAGTCATACTCTGGTAGAGTGTAGATCACATCGGCATATACAGAGTATTACAGACTATTTCTGAGTTGTCGCCAAGTACTAGGAGATCCCTGGTCATCTTTTTCTTCTGTCCTTGAGTTTAAATTAATCTAACGCTTTTTGGTAAATATTTTCTATTCCATGGAGCCTTGATAGGGTTGTACTGTACTTTGGTGAATGTTAAGGCTGTTTGGCCTCATATAACTTAATTTCAAGAGATAGTGCTTAGGGTATTTTACACTGAAGAGTAGAGAAATGAATTTCATAACATCCCAAGTTTTGACAAAATAACCTGATTTATAACAATGTCTTTTTCTAAAACTGCTGCCCTTAGGCAGGTAATACAGATTATGAGATATTAACTCAAGAAGCTAATAATTTTATTCTTTAATTGATTTGTGTTTATTATATAGTTTTTTTTTTAATTTCAGGTATATTACCTTTACTCAAAGAATCTACAAGACTCTGAAGTCTCCGGTTTTCTTCCCTTATGACCTTGACCTGCTTTATAAGGGCTGTTTGAGGTAGATGTTTAAGGGGAGTCTTAGGATGAAGTGCATGAGGAGATGAGTTGGAGATAAGTGAGTTGTGAAGCTTGGAACATGCATCACACATCGTTAAACTCTGAACACCACCTAAACAGCCATTGGCACGTATAACACTACTGTTGACTGGTTTCCCATCAACAATGCGACTGAAGAAGAAGCGGTATCCCTGTGAACTTTTAAGGGTGAAATCCGAGCTATCTTTCACTCCAGGGCATTTGCAAAGATTTTCCAGGCCGTCCAAAAATTTGTTGATTGGAATTTTCTCCACAGATTTTTCAACACCGACGACTGTAACTTCTAAGTAGAGAAATATATTATACATATATATGTGATGCATTTTTAACATTTCAACATGCATATAAACTTAAAATATAAAAGCCCTGATACCTGAATTTGTGTTATAGAATGTATGACCATGAATTCCAAGACAGGGGGAAAACCAGTACCTCCAAAACGAACACTGACATCCAAATTGTCATGAATTGTGACCAGTTTTTCCATGGACCCAGAGGATTGGTCAAATTTTCCGAACACCAGGTCATCCTTGACTTTTACCCAGTCCTGTTTATGATTTCTTTCAAAATCTCTCCTTACCTCTGCAAGAGAGTAATAAACTACTCTCTCTGGAAGTGAAGGCAATGGCCGTTTTGTCTGAAAATAATTGTTTTAAAATTACTGTTGTCTCATTGTTATGTCAGCACATGTCATTTTATAAATGTTTGCATTTTATTAAATATACTTTAATATTGTTTAAATTTACACACAACCATAAAAAAGAAGGGACTTTTAGAATTTATATATTTCTTAAGAGTGTTACTGGACTTGGTCTTGGTGGAGGATGTGGTGTTTCCACACTCTTTTTTGGCATGTTCAAGGTTGGCATGCTTCCTGGGATAAGTTTGTAGCCATTACCTGCAAATTCACAATTTTTTTTTGTTCAAATTTTTGTTAGTTATAAATACATGGATATTAGGAAAATTTAGTTTTAAAAAGCTCCGATATATACATTCAAAAAGTTCAAAAGTTTTTCAAATCAACATTTAGAAGTTTCTTTTATTGAAAGCTGAAAAATTCCTTTGTCAAGGACCCTCTACAATTTTTTTTTAACATAAAAATAAAGAAATTGTGTATGTAGGTGTAAATTTTGGCTTTCATTAGATCTGCATTGTTTTGGACTAGAATGTCAGCTGTTTATCCCAAGGAAAAAAAAGATATGTCGAAGTGATTTGGAAGTCCAAATCACATATTCTTTAAGTATTTAACCTTCGATATCTCAAATCCCTGGTTATCTGGAAGTTTTTTCTCAGTCCCATCAGGTTCGAGATAACGAAGTTTGACTGTATCTTAATTCTGACCTGATGAAATGTCAAGTTGATTTCAAATTGAGTATTAATGTGTTGTATTTTTTTAAAATTTGTTTTATTTAGTAAAGCCATTTCAAGTTTTTCTTCTCTGTTTAGCATCCACCCATCTTTCAAAAACCTACATAGTACATATTTTAAAAAAGAAAAAAAAAACAAGCCCCAAAATAAAACACAGGCTTAAAAGTCATACAAATTATGTCATTTTAACAATTTGATTTTAATGAATCTATTTTTCAGGAAGAAAGGTACATATTTCCTTTTTTTTTTATTGGAAAACTCAGGGCAATTAAAAATGTTTAAAATACATATACCTAATGATACATATTTTACACAAACATTTAGAGATATTGTCAGAATAATTTCAGGGCTGGTGATTCTGGTTTTTTTTCTGATATTGGGTGTTCAAAACCAAGGCATAAATATGCTAAATATAGAAAAAAAAATTGAAATGACCTTACTGTATGAAAAGGTCATAAAAGCCAGTGAATGAAGAGGTCTTTTTAACCATTACCTGAACAATGTTGTCATAAAGGATACCGTGTGGGGTGTTTTTCTCTCTCCAGCATCACTCAGCTGATGATTTTTTTTGTCAGGAAAATGGCAAAGGCAATGAAGTTTTAAAAATGCAGTAAATGATACAGTACACGAATTGCTTGCTTTAATTACAAGTCAAACTCGGTACTGATATCAGTAACCACAAAAGAAATCATGCATGCAAATAAAAATTGAACACGGCAACGCAATCTGTAAAATACAAAAAAGATAAATCGCTTCATCAAACACACAGAAAGTGGAAAAAGCATTCTACAATTCGTATAACAGGGTTAAAATTACCGTGGAATAATAAATATTTGTCCTCGAAGTGGTCAAAACATATATGACCTTTGTCAGGGTGAAAGGAGGGGTCGGACCGGTTAACAGCTGCAATTAACTTGGATCTCCAAACTTTATCCCCATCAGGAAATGAAAAATAACTTACACGTCTACGTTTTTTGTCATGAATAAATTTAGTTTTTGAATTGGAGTTGTTGCATCCCACAATACAACAATGTTTGCCACCCATTTTAACGTACAGCCATATTGTGTAAAGTCTTTCTATGCCTCCCGGTGAGGGCGCTGCGAAAATCGGAAGATGATTTTCTATTCGGAAGTAGAATTTTTGAAACGACGTAAAAAGTCTAGAGGTGCTCCGAAAGAGTCAGCGGTCCCTCTCTATATGTCTCTGATTTTACCAACATTTCCTTAATCGTCTCGCTTCTCATTTTCCTCATATCAGTCACATGTTTGAAATTTCCCTTCTTTTGCTGAAGAGCTACTTTCATTTTCGTTGGCGGGAAATTTTCGAAATACCTCTATAATATGGTTCACGACGTGACCGTTGGGGCGAGCGCAGTTGTGACCATCAAAAATATTCTGGGATTTCCGAATTTCCTCTGTTCTTACACGTTAGTCTATTGAGCTCGCTTCGGGACGCTTGCATGCATTATGATTGATTGAACTATCGTTTTAAGCTGAGTCAGCAATATTTCATCCATATACAAATATATACTCAGTAGCTGTTGTATTGACACTCAATTTGAGTACACACCACGAAAACAACGAAAATTATACCCCCATGAAAATTAGTGAAGAAGAAGATAAATAGCCCTTTCGGTTTTGGTCGTAAATATCGGCCTCTCAGTCAGTGGGGATGCAGGGGTACGAGGTTCGAATCCCAGACCACCCATACATGCATTTTCTCCCTTCCTGGCGGTTACAGATTTATCGTGCTCGGTAAATAAGATTTCTGTAAAGTCGATATATCTATGGATTGACGGAATGAAGTAGAAATCTAAGCTTACTGTATGAAACAATTAAGCGCCTGTGTTTTGTTATATTATTATTTTTATGCCCCCGTAAACGAAGTTTCGGGGGTATATAGTTTTTGTCGTGTCTGTCTGTCTCTCTGTTAGTCTGTTTGTCCGCAAAAACTTTAACCTTGCCAATAACTTTTGATTTAGTGGAGCTATGACTTTCATATTTCATATGTGTATTCCTTGTGAAAAGACCTTTCTTTGGGTACCACCAAATTTGACCTTTTGACCTTGACCTTGGAGTTTGACCCACTTTTACATGAAAATTTTAAAATTTTACTTTGGCCATATCTTTTGAACAGTAGACAGCAAGACATTTATACTTCACATAACGTAATGTTTGTTAAAAGACCTTTTACTGGATAACAATAACCTTGACCCTTTGACCTTGACCTAATAGATTTCCTTACTTGTGAAAAACTTTAACCGTGGCCATAACTTTTAAACGGTAAGGGATAGAAAATTCATACTTCATACATGTAATCCTTGTGAGAAGATCTTTCATTGGATACCAAGAACTTTGACTCTTTGACCTTGACCTTTGAGATTGACCTACTTAAAAAAAGAACACCTTGACCATAACTTTTTAAAAGTAAGGGCTAGTGCTTCCATATTTATTATATTTGATTCTTATGACAAGACCTTACATTTGATAACAATAACTTTGACCCTTTGACCTTGACCTTGGAGTTTGACCTACTTTTTAAGAAATTGAACGTTGACCATACCTTCTGAACGATAAGGGCTAGGGCTTTCATGCTCTACAGAACTATTTCTAATTACATTAAACTTTTGACCTTGACCTTGAAGATTTTTGTAATTATTAAAAAACTTGAACATTAGCTTACTTTCAAATTTCAAAATTGTTTTCTAGTGAGTATACCCTACTTTTGGTACCATTTAATTAAATTTTCATTTACGAAATGCTTAATCTTTGCTATGTTGCCATACGGGGGCATCAGTGTTTTACAAACACATCTTGTTTTTATAGAGATTGACAAAGCAAAATTTGAAAATATCGAAAGTAAGGAGGCGGTCGGTTATTTGATATTACAGTTTGAAGTCGTCGCACGTTTATATTTAACATTAATATATAATAGAATATTATAATTAAAACAGGATGTTTTAAATGTTTAACAAGATATTGAAGCGGAAAGCTGTTTTTTATATATTTTCATTTAGCGAAAGTTATCGCCCTTGTCCTTATTAATTACTTATTGTATGCATCGAAAATAAATACTTAATTAGTGTTGAATTTGAATTAAAGTTGTCAACTAAAATCATTGTATGTTACTTTAGTTAGGTTACTAAAGACTGGTTAACTGAAAGCTTGATTAGTGTTTTAATTAGTTTGTTAATAAATAATCACTTAGTATTTTATATGGTACTTAGGTTATATAATGTTTTTACTGCCAATTAATTGAGATCGTATTTAGAGATAAAACTCAACAAATCTGTGTAAGTGCATGTAAGTGTGCAGACTTCCCTGTTTACACTATACTGTGATAAGTGTGCGGTGTTACAACGCGAAATGTAATAAGCCTAGATTATTACATTTTGCGTTATTACATTTTGCGTCGAGATCAACACAAAATGTAATAACGCAAAATGTAATAACACGATTTTAAGATACATGTAATTACATTTTGCGTCGAGATTAACGCAAAATGTAATAACGTCATTTTTCGTTGTTATGTGATAGGGTGATTTATATCTTATATTAATTATTATATTTCAGGATTAAATTAATTCAGTTGAATTATCATGTTTATTTCTTTTCATTTATTGAATAAATCCACATGGAATTATTTACATCAATCTGTGTTCATTGAGTTATTTATAGATGTATGACATCACAGTGGTCATTTAAACCCCTGTCCCTTTTCTATTTATATCTTGTGTAGTGTCAGGGCCAACTTGGATTTCATTCACCCCTACTAATGTGTTCGGATGTTTATCGCTGTTAAGTGTAGCGTAACATCCGAGTGGTCGATTTGACCTTTAACGAGACCAGCCTCGAGACCGTGCGAGATCTGCACCAGTTCCTGTAAGATTTAGACAGGAAGTAGATGTGTGTTTTGGGATTTATGCATTTAATGTAAGTAAAGCTCATTTTATTTGCCTTCATTCACTTGAACATTTTTTGCACATAAAATTTGATTCAACTAGTCTTCATTTCTCGAATTCTATCACCTCAAACACATGAAACGAGAAACATTAAATCAGGTGCATTTAGAGTTATCTTCCTTTGTTTACATGCCTCCACGTGGTTGGAAAAATAAAAACCTTTTGGTGCTATAAAATATATAGGGCTTGTCAATGTTTTTAAATTATTATACTAAATTATTTATGTTGTTCTTGGTGTTGTGAAATATTTTACCCCAGTGTTAAAAGAAGTGAAAATGATTCAATGCGCAGAAAATGTTATAGTCCGTTTTACAGCTGTTTTACTTCTTACAATAGCAGATACACAATTTCTCAGTTACTTACATGCAATATACATGTAATAAACGTGTGAAGAAGTGCTTAATTAAAAGAATATAGAGTAAATGTGACATTCAAAAGATTAGAAATGGTAAATAACAATGTAAACAACCCTCAAGTGATCAGTTGGTGATTATTATTCAGGCGCGGATCTAGAAATTTTTCAAGGGGGGGAGTGAAGAGCAAAAGAGTTTATCATGTTTATATAACTTATGTTTTACATTAACATGTACATGTAGCTAAATAACTCAATAGGATACAGGGTGCAGTGTGGTTTTAAAAATGGTAGGTTGATCTACCTATGAAAAAAAATATTCGTATCTATAGATTACCTGAATTTTTTTTATCTGAACCTGTAAATCTTATTATGTAAAGATTTCGTAAAGAAGTAGGGTTTCATTTTGTTATCACAACCAAATTTCTTTATATATTACAATATAAGCCTTTCATTGAACATTTTTCTATAATAAGAAGAAAATACAGTGTAGAAATGTGGGTCTTTCTTTCTCTCTCTTATTTTGCAAATCAAAAGGGGGGATGGAGTGCAGCAGGAACCAGTCCAAGCGCCCCCTAATAAAAACGTCCCTGTCAAAGTGTCCCCTGATTTTAGTCAAAGTGCCCCCTAACATATTTTTTATAGAAAAAATACTGCCACCAAATATTACTTTAAGATTATTTAGTTTCCTTGATCCCAGTCTTAGATGACATACAGACACTTAAACTGTAAAGTACTGGGTACTGAGCACATGGACAGTACTAGTAAGTAATTTGATTGATTCATTATCATGCCTGGAGTGTTTCAAAAAGTCTGTCAAATTCTAAAAAACATAATTGTTTCACACTCATGATGGTTTAATTAATTGTGTCAGTGTCCCTTATGCAGAAAATATAATTGCTTTAATAAATTCTCAAATAATTTTATAATATTTTAGATGTTAATGACTAAAATGATTGATCATTATCAAAATATAATATCTCTTAAAGACATGATGAAAAAAAAGGCTGTAATTTATCTTCATCTTAAACATAGGATATGGAGATAACGAACAATTTTCAATCTCAAAGTCCATAAAACAATACAAAATAGGAGCAAAGCAAACACAGACCTCCGAAACATCAGAGGTGGAATCAGGTGCCATGGAGGAGTGAGCATCCCCTGCTGACAGGTCACACCCACTGTAAGCTCCTTGTCATGATCGTGAAATAATGGAAAAATCCATCGTCAATTCAGTATATAAATAATGGCTAACAACTGTATGAAAAATGTCAGTCAGCATTTTAAGATTTACATATTGTTAATCAATTGTAAATCAATATGATTTACAATATGTATATCAATTTGATTTACAATGTGTAAATCAACTTTCAGTTACTTTTCTTGGCTGTACAGCATTTTAAGTCACAAAGTACATGTAGTATAATTTGATAATAAGGACTTTCAAGTAGGCATAATTCTGCTTCAGGCATAATTTTAGTTTTTAGGTGTCATTAGGGGTAGCTTCATTGCATTTTTTTGCCTCAAATCCCTGCTTGACACAGTGGTTTGAGTGTCTGCTCTTGAGTTGCTAGGTAAGGAGTCAATCCTTAATCACATGTTCAAATCCCACTGTGGGACTTGGAGATGGTCCTTCGGATGAGACTGTATAAACTGAGGTCAGTGTACGTCGAGTGTACAACAATGAAAACTATATGCATCATATCTATCATGTTTGTTTTAGTTGGAGCTAGTGTCAAAACCCCCACCTCCCAACCTGAATCTGTGTACATGTTTTATAATTTTTGTGATAAATAAATGTACTGTGGTTTCATCAATATTCGTGGAGCACCAATTTTCGTGGATTTCGTTGTTGAGTTGATCCACGAAATCAAATGTTCAACGAAGTTTGGTGCCTACATTTTGATTTACGATAAACCTTTTAAAAGCCCATTCCGACTTTCGTTAATATATATTAAATAGCCCTACCCGTTTTTTCCTGAACAGATCGACTTTTAAGACCTACTTTTCCTTTTTTAAAATAATTTTAATTTAAAAAATGAGGAAATAATTTTAATTTTATCTGAATTTTTTTTTAATAAAACGTTCTGCACGGAGATAAACAAACAACACGTAGATCCGTCAACGCAGTGCATACACCAATCAGCGATATACCCCCCAAAGCCATAGGATGATAATCAGGCGTAAATGTGTGAAATTTGTAACGTGTTTGCCTAACACATATAATATATGATTTTTCTCTGGGTCTAGGGCCCCCTCAGATACCTTGCTGAGGAATTTGATTGTTGACTAAAACTTATTTACATATGCAAAATATACAGATATCGGGTGCTTCCCTAGCACACAAATAAAAGAAATAATCAATTAAACCGCCTCTTAATCAGTTGGGCTTCTATCTCTGAAGCGACTTCCAGAAGCGCCCCAAAGAAACAACCAACGCGCCAGCACGTCGCTTCTCCCAGAAGCGACAGGTTCCCCTAGATTAACACAAAAAGACCGTTTATGCAACGCTCACGTAGACTGTTACATATATCAGGTAAAAACTGTTCTGCACATCGCAAAGCAATAATGACTTATGAACAGACTTACCGCTGTTGTCTATCTCTTTGATAATACCGCACTTCTCGGCTGGCACTCTATCAGCAACTGTAGCAGAAACTGACTTTATCGAGTCTCGACGCCTTATATATACTATGAGTATATCACGTGACATACCCACTCGGAATGTCTGGGAACTCGGCGTTTTACGAGCTCAGGGTCCCTTCGGGACGCCCTGTCTCCTTCCCTTAATTGTATATTTCCGTTACATTACCCACGCCTCAGATTCAAGCGTCCTCGCTTGCACAGGAAAATAAAACAAAGAGGCATATAATAGACAATTTTTCTTATTTACAATGATTCAAATACTGTCAATTCCTTTGACAAGGTAAACTGTATATACATATATTACATCAATAACCAGTCACTTAACAATTCGTGAGTCTATCGATTGTCTAACTCATATTATAGCTCTTCTTTCTTTCAACGACTTTGATCTTAACCCCATTCTCCCACTTGGTGGTTATGGTTTTAGTGGAGTACACATAAAGGGTTGGCTCGGTCTGTGTAGTCGCGTTCACGGTGGATTTCTTTGCAGACTTCTCCAATTCATGCACCACCGGTTCTGACTGATGAATCTCTTTGCTCTTCATCTGGGAACCTGTATAGAGAACTGGCTGAGTTCTCTTCCGAATGATTCGTCCTATCTCTAGGTCCTCAGGTGCCTTCTCTATTTCTTCAGTTTCCCTAGAGTCTTCTTCATCACTAGAGCTACATGGACCCAACACATCTAACAATTCTCCAGGATCCTGACATTCCCAATCACTCTGGTTAGACTCCTTCTCCATATGGTCACTACCAGGATTCGCTGCTGGAATATCTTCACAAACTACAACATCAGCTGCTTTTGTAATCGTGCTCGGCTTTTGCTTCTTAGCAGGGGGTGGAACAGTTGCTGAACCGTTATGAACTTTCATGTGTTTCACAAGGTAGCTGTTCTTCTTGAACCTGGCTCCACAAGTTACACATTTAAATCTCTGTCCTGAGCATAAAATAACGTGGTCCTGCCATGGCTCATCAATGGCTTTGTCACAAAAAGGACAGTCAGGCTGTTTAGCTTTGGTAAACTTTATATTAGGCATATCTGTAATCTACAACAAACAAAAAAAAAATGGGTTAAAGCTCATTCAAATTCTCTTGAATCTTTGTCATCTTTAATATAAAAATATTAAAGCAACATAAATAACCTGTCTAGCAAAGATCTACTACATAATCTGATAAATAAGCAGGAGTCCGTCTGCTTCTACTAGATCTTTGGGGCTTCTGATCGATCACAGGATCATTAACACCCTCTCTATCAATGCCTAACTCTTCAGACTCATCTTGTTGTAACGTGATACTTTCATTCTGGTCGACATCACCAGAATCACTTAGTTCTACCTCACCAGACAGAATCTGAGGTTTAACCAATCTCATTCTGTCTACATGTATCACTTGTGGCGACCCTTTACTTCCACAAGATACTTTGTACGTAAATTCTGAATATTTTTCTAGGACTTCGAAAGGTCCTTGCCAAAAGCTTGTTAACTTCGGCGAAGTACCCATACGTCTGCGAGGAAAGAATACGTAAACGTGGTCTCGAGGGGAGAATCTCTGCCATCGTAACTTCTTGTCATGGTAGCGTTTTTGACGCATCATTTCCCCTCTAGTATTTTCTCTCACAATACGGTGTGCTTCCTCCAGTCTCTCTTGAAGCAACCAGGCCCATCTATTCTGTGGAATTGGCTTTCGCTGTACTTCCATTTCGTATACGAGGTCTAGAGGCGTTGTCGCTTCTCTACCAAGCATAAGGTAGTTTGGAGAGAAGCCAGTGGTGTCATGCTCCGCTGACCTATATGCCATCATGACATACGGCAACTGTTCGTCCCAATCTGTATGATTTTTGTTCACGCAGGAACTTAACATGGCTTCTAGAGTTCGATTAAACCTTTCCACCATACCATCCGACTGCGGATGGTAGGGTGTAGTGCGAGTCTTTTCAATTTGCAATAGCTCGCAAACCGAATGGAACAAATCACTCTCGTATTGACGGCCTTGATCTGAGTGTATTGTATAGGGTACTCCGAATCTAGTGATGACCTGTTCAACCAGAATCTTTGCCACAGTTTTCGATTCCATATTTGGCATCGGAAAACATTCAGTCCAGCGAGTAAAATAATCTGAAACTACCAGTATGTATCTGTTTCCAGATTCTGTCAATGGCAGTTCCCCCATAATATCTGTTGCTATTCTATCCATGGGGAATCCATTCTGAACAATTTGCATCGGCGCTTTCTGGCTAGTAAATGATGGCTTTCTTCTGGCACAGATGTCACATCCATTTATATACCGACGAACATCTTTGTTAAGCCCTGGCCAATAAAATTGACTTCTTATCTTAGCGATGGTCTTGTTTATACCTAGGTGACCTGCAGTACGTTTGTCGTGGTATTCCTTTAGAATATGCCTTCTCTCAGACATAGGCACAATTATCTGGAGCTTTTCCGTCTTTGTCTCTTGGTCTATGGTCTTTCGATAAAGTAAATTGTCCTGAATGGTAAGTAAACTTAGCTGTGACCATAGAGAACGTAGAAATGCACTTTGACTGGCAACTTCTCTAAATGATGGTTTCTTTTCCTGATCCATCCAACGTTTTACAAGAACAATTTCTTTATCTTCTCTTTGGACCCTATGAAGATAAGATTCTTGAATAACTGGGGCGTCGACTGTTGCAGTTCTTACTTTGGGATCCTCTTTTTCCTTATCCCAGCCTACTTGGAATCCACATTGCTTACACGGAAGACGACTAAGTGCGTCAGCGTTTTGGTGTAACTTGCCTGGTCGATGTTGGATCTCTATGTCATACGTGGACAGCTCTTCAAGCCAGCGAGCAAGCTGACCCTCTGGATTTTTAAAGTTGGTCAACCATTTCAGCGAGCTGTGGTCCGTGCGCAAAATAAATTTACGTCCGTAGAGGTAATGCTTAAAATACTTGGTAAAATACACTGCTGCCAACAACTCTTTTCTCGTCACGCAGTATTGCCTTTCAGACTTTGTAAAAGTCTTGCTGGCGTAGGCAATCACACGTTCTTTACCATCGTGCACTTGTGATAATACTGCTCCCATCGCAAAGTTACTTGCGTCTGTGTCCAATACGAACGGTTTACTAAAGTCAGGATGAGCAAGGATGGGGGCACTTGTCAGTGTAGCTTTTAACTTTTCGAAAGCACTTTGGCAATCCTCACTCCAAACGAAGGATTTGCTTTTCTCTGTCTGTTTGTGAAGGGGTTTTGCTATGCTCGCAAAGTCTTTCACAAACTTCCTGTAGTAGCTACATATACCCAGGAATGAACGTAGCTCACTCACATTGGCTGGCACTGTCATTTCCTTAATCGCCTCAATCTTCTTTGGATCCGTAGTAATACCCTTCTCGGAAATTATGTGTCCGAGATATTCTACCGACTTGCAAAACAAGGAACACTTCTTGGTCTTCAGTTTCAACCCTGCATTTGCCAATCGGTCGAACACTTTGCTCAGGTTCTCCACCATGCCCTCAAATGTGTTACTAATGACGATGATATCGTCCAAGTAAATCAAACATATTTCCCAATTCAACCCTGCAAGGACTGTCTCCATCAATCTCTCAAATGTCGCTCCGGCATTGCACAAGCCGAAGGGCATCACTTTAAATTGATATAATCCTTTTCTTGTGGCAAAAGCAGTCTTTATTTTGTCACTGGACTCCATTTCCACCTGCCAGTATCCCATAGCCAAGTCGAGAGTAGAGAACCACGAAGCACCACTTAGACTATCTAACATGTCGTCGATTCTCGGAAGAGGGTAAGCATCTTTCAAAGTAACCGCGTTTAATCGCCTATAATCGATACAAAATCGAGTTGATCCATCCTTCTTCTTAACTAAAACGATACCCGAGGCCCACGGACTAGACGAAGGTTCAATTACATTTCTCTCAAGCATATCGTCCACCAACCTATCTGCTTCTTCTCTCATGTGTACTGGTAATCGTCTTGGTGGCTGTTTTATTGGGCGTGCGTCTCCCGTGTCGATACAATGCTTGACAACATTTGTTCTGCCAAGTCCATCATCTGAACCAGCAAACAGAAAAGCATATCTTGATAACAGTTTATCTACTTCAGTCTTTTGTTTTTGGTTTAAGCACGTTTTCGACTTTTCACTTAAGACCTGCAGCTCTCTTGAAAAAGGTTTCTTAAAACTGTTATCTTTATTTTCTCCTTCTAATATCTTTACCACTGGGCTAAGCTGTCCCATATTAGTTCCCTTGTAAATCGTCTGTGCATCGGTCGAAAGATTCATGACTCGTATTGGAACCTTATTATGATTGCTCACCAGAGTTCTGCCAACTAAACCTTTATTTGAATCTATCAAACAATTCCTTGGCTCTACAATACCATATCCACTAGGAAGGTTCTTGCCCTCTGGTATGCATACATCACAGCGTGTAATCATCTCACTTCTTGGCGGAATAGTGAATGACTCTGAAGCCACCACCCGATAACATCCTAGCATACCTTGAAGTAATAAAGAATAATGTTCACCATTTATTGAAATTACTTTCTTTGGGACGTCCAACGTGCAATTTTGCTCATTCATGAAATCCAGACCCAGGATTCCATCAACTGTTATATCAGCGACCACCACTGTTCTCACAAAGTTACTCGAACCAATGGTTAAATTTAAGGTAGCTTTGCCAAAAAGTTTTAGAGGCCTACCTTCAGCAGACATTATGTCTTGGTGCATATTATCCAAAACAAGATTTTGATGAACCTTTTGTATTTCACCGAAGACATTCTTTGCAATGAGCGTAACGGTTGCTCCTGTATCGATCAACATTTTTGTGTCTACATCTTCTATTTTAGCTGAGAGATACATTCCAGCCTCACTGGGTCTATTGTAAGCAATTGGCTGCAGCTTACGTTGTGGTCTAACTGTCTTAGCAGAACCAGAACCATGACCCGGTGCTTTAGAGTTTTTGCCAAACTTCTTTGTTGTTTCGTTTAGCTGCTTCGAAGGACAATGTTTGCTTATGTGTCCTTCTTTACGACAATTGTAGCACTTTATTGTTCTTGGGGGTTGCCGTGGCTTCTTGTTATTGCGATCCGTCCAGTTCATTGAGCTAAGTGACTTACTCTTCATTTCACGCATTTCTGTCTTAAGTTCCATAACAGAACTTTGCAAATCTCTAAGAGTTTTGGTCAGCTCGTCGGTATTTATCTGGGATTTGAACTGAGCATTATCGTGATCAGTTTCTGTAACTACACGCAAGTGTGACTTGTATTCCGATCTTCTGGAGTCGGCTCTGACAAAGGCTTCTAATTCAACCGCTAGCCTTATAGCGTCGTTCAAACTCTGGGGTCTAGCTTGTTTAATTCTAAGACGCATGTCTGCATCAACCAAAGCATCGATAAACTGTTCCTTAGATAAAGTCTCCTGAACGTCGTTTGGTGCTGTAGGATAGGCAAGATGTGTTAGCCTCCGAATTGACTGTCCTAATTCTGGGAGCGTCTCGGTCGCTTTCTGTCTTCGTTCTCGTAGTTGAACTCTGTATAGTTCTGTCTGGTTTGCAGGGGCAAAACGATCTTCAAGCGCCTTAATCAGTTCATCATAGTTCCTTCCATCATCTCTACTCAAATTCCCAAGCACTCCCTGTGCTTGTCCCCTCAGAGAGACCGCTAAATAAAGACCTTTTTCTTTAGCACTCCAACCATTCAATGAAGAGCACGCCTCAAAGTGTGATTTATAATCAAGCCACGACCCAATCCCGTCATACGTAGCTGGTTTAATATAATTAGATGGCTTCTTTACAGAATTCAGTTCCTTTGGTTTTGCTTCGTCAGTCTTGGTATTTTCAAGAAAGCGCCGTAGTCTGACAGTTACACCTGGTTCATCCTCTCTGGCAACGATAGGTGTGTCGCTTCTTAAAATGGGCTCTTGTTCTAAATTGTCAATTCTTGGTGTTTCACGGAGAACTTCACTCTGGATTCTGGCCGAAGCTTGGTTAACATCTTCTATAGGACTTTGAGTCATTATTCCAGAGTCGCTTCTACGGGCCGTGGTTGTTCTTATACTAGCTGGAGTAGACGTTCTCTGACCATGATTGTCCGAGGATAATTCAGAATGCTCGAGCGTCTTCCTTCCCAACCGTGTTATTTCGGCTTCCAACCTAGCTATTTCTTCGTCTAAGCTCGACATTTTTTTTTAAAGCAACGAAACTTTACAAATAAAGAAACATAAGAATATATGAAATTTACTTCTTTTTATTTTTTAAATTCAATCAAGCAACCAAATCAAGTCCCGACGTTGGGCGCCATTTTCTGTAACGTGTTTGCCTAACACATATAATATATGATTTTTCTCTGGGTCTAGGGCCCCCTCAGATACCTTGCTGAGGAATTTGATTGTTGACTAAAACTTATTTACATATGCAAAATATACAGATATCGGGTGCTTCCCTAGCACACAAATAAAAGAAATAATCAATTAAACCGCCTCTTAATCAGTTGGGCTTCTATCTCTGAAGCGACTTCCAGAAGCGCCCCAAAGAAACAACCAACGCGCCAGCACGTCGCTTCTCCCAGAAGCGACAGGTTCCCCTAGATTAACACAAAAAGACCGTTTATGCAACGCTCACGTAGACTGTTACATATATCAGGTAAAAACTGTTCTGCACATCGCAAAGCAATAATGACTTATGAACAGACTTACCGCTGTTGTCTATCTCTTTGATAATACCGCACTTCTCGGCTGGCACTCTATCAGCAACTGTAGCAGAAACTGACTTTATCGAGTCTCGACGCCTTATATATACTATGAGTATATCACGTGACATACCCACTCGGAATGTCTGGGAACTCGGCGTTTTACGAGCTCAGGGTCCCTTCGGGACGCCCTGTCTCCTTCCCTTAATTGTATATTTCCGTTACAAATTGTTTTCTCAAACAATTTAATTAAGTGTCCAAACCCCAATTATCACCTGTACAGTGAAAACAACAAATTACCGTTACATAAAAAAATTTGAAAGAAATAATTTATTACTCTCTGCCGTTAAAACATGCTAAATTCATACAAATTATCAACACAATTTAATGCTATTTTAATTTGTGATCTGTTTGATTAGAAACATATTTTTGTTATACATGAGGTAATGGGTATACATGTATGCTGCAATTTAACATTCATGGCTGAATCATTGTCGTTCATATTACTTGTTTAAGCGGATGTTGTACCCATCGCGCATGATCGCACCTGAATGTGTTTGTTCCGAGATCTTCAAACAAGGGGTCTGGAAGTCTCTGTCAAGCCCCGAAACACGCCGTGCATGTGAAAATGAGTAACTAACGTCATTTTGTGAATTGAAATAATACTTAATTGTTGTTACTTTTAATATCCTGTTGCAACTTAATTACCGTCCGTATTCCACACTTGCGATCATAATTTTTGTTCGTATTCCACACTTGCGAATTAATGGAATAATTCACCATTGAAGGTTCCGACTTTTGAAAAGCCAATGGAGATAAATAAATAATTAAAGAGTTTTCTCCTGTTAGTAATTTTCTTTAAAGATATCTACGTACCCTTATATTGTAAATGGCACAATGTTCCCGCTAAAGCATAACGACGAAAGAAAAAATGAAAAGATAGACTTTATTTTTCTGTTAGGGCCATTATCCACGAATTTACGTATCCACGAAACTGTGAATTTTACTAAATCCACGAAAATTGATACCCACGAATATTAATGAAACCACAGTATGTACTTGCATGTAGTTATCATAATGAACATTTAATAAACAGTGATAAATTAGAGGAAAAATAATCTTTTGCAAAGCACTGAATAGCACAATATTATGGCCAACTGATTACTAATTTAACATGTTCAAATCCCATTTATATACACGTACAATTTAATTTTGCAAAATTTGTTTTGTAATCTTTGCTTATATTAGTTTTTTAAAGTTATTGCCTTATACTGGAGGGACAAATTCACTTAGAGACAAATTTTAAAGATTTAACCTTTGAAAATGATGAATAACATCTACACCAAATAAATTTACTTTTGGCATCTAACAATTGACTTTTCATATGCAAATTTATATATAATGTTGTACAACTTTTGCCTTCATGTTGATTAACTTTTAACACTGAGCCTTAACTTTCAGGTCTCTTATATCAATATTCTAAGTCCGCCAATCGCCCGTCATACCCCTAATAAATTGAAACACAGTGGTGGTACAGAGATTTGGACAATCTATCATCTACAGGATGAAGTCAGGATCACAAACAAATAAGAAAATCTGTTCAAGAACTTCCAGAAACTGTCCACTGAGACATAAAAACATGTACAGAGGCTATTTCAAAATACACACAATGCAGGATTTGTCAAAGTTGTAAGTCCCTAGGGCCAGAGGCTCAAGGGAGTTTCTGATCAAAATTTGTCTGTTGTATATTCGTGTACTTATTGTGAGTATTGTTGCCCTTGTTGTCATCTTTGTATATCAACTTTCACATTCTCCACTGGGCCACTTTCAACCAATTTGGCACAAAGTATTCTTGAACAAGGGAATAAACATGATAAAGGTTAAAAGAAAAAAGGTTTAAAGAAAATGCAATGCCTCCTTCTTAAGGATAGTCCAGACATGAATGTTGTCTTGACATGTAAACATGTAGCATATATAGATTTAATTGTTATCATTGCCCTGGAGGATTGGGTACAAAGCCCCAAAAGGTAGGGCTACAAAAGAGATAAAGAATTTAGCTCACCTGAGGAAAAAAAACTCAAGTGAGTTTCTCTTATCACCTGTTGTCTGGCCCAGAAAAACTGAAATTTATGTGGAAGCATCCTAGGGTAGTGTATATTGTAAATTGTTCAAATCATGAGCCCCGGGGTAGGACTGGGCCACAATAGGGAATCAAAATTTTACATAGAAATATGTAGGAAAAAAACTTTCTCAATTAAGAACCACTGGGCCAGAAAAGCTGAAACTTATATGGAAGCATCCTACATTGTCCTAGGGTAGTGTAGATTGTAAATTGTTCAAATCATGACCTCCTGGGATTGGGCGAGGCCACAATAAGGAACACAAGTTTTAAATTGAAAGATATAGGAAAATACTTTAAAAACCTTCTTCACAGGAACTACTGGGCCAGAAAAGCTGAAACTTATGTGGAAGCATCCATGGGTAGTGTAGATTTTAAATTTTCCAAATTATGACCCATGTAGTAGGGTTGGGTCACAATATGTATTACTGCATGTACAGTGGGGGAATGTGGTAAAGAACAGCATGGTCAAAGCTACAGGTGAGCGATTTGGCCCATGGGCCTCTTGTTAAGAACAGTTAAGTGTGCACATGTATATTGAGTATATTCAATGTTTTGTAGTTGATTATGGAAATTATTTCATGTGTGGGACAGGATATTTTGTCTCATTAGTGAAATAAATTCCATATTATTCAAATAAGAAACATTGAATTTTCTGTTTATTACATTTTCTTTGATTTTCCCTTTGTCTACCTCTTTTTTGTAATGTAGTCATACCCCGGCTACATGATGTCATAGATGAGCGGTCGATACGTCAGCTTAAAGTGAAAAACATTGTAAACATAAATTTCAGCAATTAACATATTTGGGGAATGTTCGCAGTCTTTATCTCTGTCAGAATGGTTTATTAACTTGTTCTCAGTCTTATAACAGGCCAAGGCATATTTTTTTTTTACAACATTCCTTATTCCTCAATCTTATAACAGGCCAAGGAATATTTTTTACATCATTCCTTGTAATGGAAAGGAAAATCTGGAGTTTTCTCGCACTTCTGGTATTTATTGTCACTCTGTGAAAGAATATCATTTTATTTAATGAATAAATTACAGTATTTCACTGTATAAAATGTAATAAATTGGTGTATCTAATGTGCATCTCAAAATTCTCAAAACACAGATGAATTTTTTAGCTGTAAGTGCTTTCTGTTACTTCATGGCTTTTTAATTCAGGCAAATACAAAATTCAGTACTGAAGACAATATTCTGTATTCATTGATTAATTTATTATACATGACCTTCTTAACTTCCTTGACATCAAAGAATGGAAACTAACATTATAATACACACTATTTCAAATGCCTTAATATTTCACTCTATTTATAGGTGCTTTTGACAAAGAAGGTTAAGTATAAAACCTTTGTGGACATGGCTTTTGAAACTTCTTAAAACTCTGGAAGAATGAGGAAAAGGAACCTGGCATTGAAATGGAACATGTTGGACAGGGTTATCACGGTAATGTTGTTGATTTTGAACATGCATGCAAAAATTTGGTATGATATTGCATATTACAGTGTATATTAAGAAAAATTCAACACATGCATTCATTAACTGACATGTACGTATTTAAAATATGCCCTTTGTCCACAAAGAAATTTTAAAATCTTTTTATGAGGCTGATTGTATGTAATGATAAGATAAATCGACAGAATGCTTCATTTTTTTCTTATTTATTTAATTCAAAAATGAACATATGAAAATGTACATGTCACATTGGGGAAGATGTTCAGTATTTTTAAATTGCATGTTGGAATTTGTATCTCAAATGGGAAGATAGCTTTTCAAAGAACATTTAGGTTTTGATTGAGATCAGCAATTTTCTTCAAGAATGATGCATTTGATATTACTATTAACAAATTTGAACAACTCCTAATATCCAGAACTTACAAATTAGGACTGGGCAATAATATCAATATTTCAATATATTGCAATACAATGACAAAAAATATCGTATCGCAATACGATTTAGAAATATCGATATATTGGCAATATGCTTATAGGATAAGGAATTTTGTCATTAAAATGATTAAATATAAAAAAGACTTGCGATAGCTTGTTATTAAGCCAGACAGTAAGACAAAAGTTGTTTTGTGGAAACATTTAAGAGCAAAACTTAAATGAAATCAACAAGATTTTTTTTCCGTGTTGGTAAATTATCATAGTTATGTACATTCTGCATGTAAATTAAGGTAAATATAGTAAGAAAGTGCCATTTTTATTACATTGAAAATATTGCAATTACATATCGCAATACAGTTAAAAATATCGCAATATATCGCAATACGAAATCTCGGGCCAATACCCAGCCCTATTACAAATACATGTACATTGTACTTCTGAAAACTGATTCTTGTTAGGTACATCCATATTTGTCCCAAACCAATTGAAGGCAAAATATTTTCAGGAGAATGGTTATATCTAGACTAAATGACAATCTCATGTTCATGCAAAACTTTGCACTTTGCAGTCTATTGGCAGATTCAGATCTGCACATTAAAAGGAGTGGATACATGAGTGTTTTTGAATTAAAATCTGGAATAACTGACAAGTTATGGCACAAATTAATGCACAAAAAATTCCTGTATCCACCCCGATATACTACTCCGTGGAGATCTGAGTTAGAATAGGTCCTCAGTACCCGGGCCCCTTGCTTGTCGTAAAAGGCGACTAATGGGGCGGTCCTTCGGATGAGACCGTATAAACCCAGACCCCGTGTCACAGCAGGTGTGGCACAATAAAGATCCCTCCCTGCTCTAAGGCCGTAAGTGCCGGGCATAGGCCTAAATTTGCAGCCCTTCACCGGCATTGGTGATGTCTCCATATCAGTGAAATATTCTGGAGAGGGACATTAAACAGTATACAATCAATCAATCAATCACCCTTATATACTGATTTGACACTGGCTGCATATTTTTTTTTACACAGAAATATAATCTGACTTAATATTGTGACTTCTTTTTTGAATGACCCTCACCTAGGGATTAGTCACACTTTTCCTGTGTAGAATGTTTAACATGTTAAAAGAAAATATGGTTGTATTTTACTTTCAATTGACATGTCTCAGAGAAGCATCATGGTCCATATAAGCTTATAGTCAATTATAAATCTGAGTACATTTTACACAATTTATTGTGCGATTATATTAAAAGTTATTAAATTTTATGTATACAACAACAGAATGATGTGATATGCTGGAAATTCCTTATTAAACGCAAGGAATTTATTATTGCAATTTTGCCTGTAGCATCACTTGCAAAATAAAATGTTTCACTTTCATTTTTATGGTACTGAAACCCATGCACATTTTCCTTATCAACCGACCATTCACAAATATATATTCCTGCAATTTAATGGTTTTAAGAGCTATTTTGCAATAATAAGTACTCACAAAAAATAAGGAATCTGCAGTATGTACATGTATAATCTTTGTATTGATGTTTGATTTTTTTTTTCATATCCAGATCATGCATTTATAAAAGATGACAGCATATCAGCACTACCTTAAGATTGGAGTTGAGACCTTGCATTTTTTACACAGAAAATAAAGAACAGTTGCTGAATGAAACAGATACTCACAGAAGCAAATGTAATGAGCCCAAAATAATGGTGATCAATTTTGAATGATTTTATTCTCTGGTTGAAATGTTATTGAAATGATACATACTGATCCAATTTTAGAAGTGGTTGACAATGAATACTAAGTATTTTGTTGTATATAAGTATAATGGCTTATTTTAAAACTGTATGAAGCTTGCAATGTTTATATCAATTGTAATGATTTTGTGTAGAAATCAATTTTTTTTAAGGATAAAAGATGTAATTTTTTTCAATTAGAATTTCTTAAAAAGACTTTCTAATGTAAATACATGTATGGATAATAGAAGATTATTATATTTTCTTTTACTGTCATTGAAATACTGTTATAATGAACTGCAATTTTACACAAAAAATGTTTTAACATGAAAGTTTCAAATTTCAAGATTTATGAAGTTTGAATTGTGGCTTATATTGCTTTTTATTGAACTCCCTTAACCTTAGATTTGTTGTGCATTCTATGTTATAAATTTAATTTTGGAACATGGGAAAGGTCTTGTTTTGAACTCTGTTGATTTTAATTCAAGCAGAGTAAATGTGTTTAATATATGTACCAATCTGATTAAAACCAGATCCTTGATCCGCTCCTTTGTTTTTTTATTGTCGCTACCTTGTGTAGCAACGATGAAAAAACAAAGGAGCGGATCCAGGATCTGATTTTAATCACATTGATATATGTATATGTATGTCTGTGAAAATAATTGGTCTTCCCACAGAGTTATTTCCCTTGTTCACAATGTAAAAAAAAAATTATGAATGATATATGCATGATTGTTTTACAAAAATCAAAGAGATAAATTTATTTTATATGTCTCATTGTGTCCGGAATCTGCTTTTCTTACAAGTAATAATGATGTTGAAATAAACTGTGATAATATTAAAAAGTATTTTTATATCATTGGATGTTTGGTTAATACAGCTAAGGGTTTAAAATATTTCAAAGTGAGATTAAGATACAGAAATATATTTTATATGGTAAAACATATACTTAGAAAACATCTTGGATCTTTTTTCAAGTATGATCTCAGTTTCAACTATTGATACAACCGGATCGTGGGTGTAAAAAGAGCTTACATGTTCTAGATATTTATTTAAATGCCTTTTGGTCTATGAAAAAGGCACATTGTGAAGAAATGTTAACATTTTTATCCAAACTTGACATTTGGGGCAGGGATTTACTAAGTATGTGTAAGAACATGATCAAATGACACCTACATGTAACAGTCAGCTACATTTAAAAGGGTTATGTTTTGAAGTATGCTAAATCATTCTATGTATGACTAGGAAGTTAGATTTGTGTGTGTGTTTTCATACGTTTTTTAACACCCCCCCCCATCCATGCCTTCAAAAAAAAATATTCTAAGTGTTCTGGAAAATTGATTAAACCCTAGAGATAGGGTTTAAAATAAAGAAGTATGAAAATGGGAGAAAAAAATATTGAGAAGCAGGATGGATGGGTCTCATCCTTCCTTTCCAAATAAAATGTTGGAAAAAAGAGAAGAACTTGTGTTTGTTTCAAGGAGGGGGGAGGGGGTTATTTCCTGCATGTGTAACCAACTTGACATGTTTTGGGATCCAGGTTCTGATTCATTTAAATTGCATGTAATTCATGATCAGTACTCATAAAAAATATTTTTGTATCATTGAATATTAATTTGATATATACTTATAGCACTAGCTCTGAAATCGAGATAATTCCAAGCCCCCCCCCCCCCCCCTGCCCCTTTCATGCTTTAATGGATAATGGAACCCTAAGTATTAAATGTTCCTGAACCATGATGACGAAAATCTTGTTAACATTTGATGTGTATCTTTAAATGTATAAAGGAATTGCTCGTAACTGGTTTGTCAAGATCTGAGTTGTATACAGAAACAGACTATAGGTGTGAGCACTCTCCTTTACTGCGAACCTAACGACCTTTGACTAGTTCAAGAGAAACCACGTGATGTAAATTTAAATAACAATAACATTAGTAGGGGTGTCATTGGTTGGTTTGTTTTCCCTCTCTTTTGGTTTTAGCTTAGTTAAAGCTGACATGAATTCTTAAAAACGCAACATTTTTATCTATGTACGACTTGTTTCATACCAACGATAGCCGTATTCCGCCATATTTCTCTCAGATACCTTGTCTCATTGTAACGATGTATACCCCAATGCACTCGTTACACTTGAATGATTTTTTGGTTTGGGTATCGACTTGTGCACATCTCCGATGGTAAGGCATACATGAGAACACATAAGGAAATCAAGACATTTCAAAACCACAATAAACAAAATAATAGTCATATTTCTGAATAATTATTGATTTAAATCAAAAGAAAAAATGTAAGTTTGGTGAGAAATTTAGATGCACGAGTACGTATTTTTACAGTGCGCCAATTTATGCAGAATAAACTTGAAATAAAAAAGTAGTAAAATCTGCAACACATTTTGAAAATATTATCATTTGAATGGCGCAAAACAACCAACGTCTTTCATTTGCAGACCCTATGCAATTGGTGCATATCGAGAAAACGCCCCGAACGCTGTAAACATACCCATACCTGGTAATAAGGTTACTGCATCGGTTCGAAGATGTGCACAAGTCAAGTGATATACACCCTGAATTCCATTTATTGAATTATGCATCACAAAAAATAAATAAACTCCGTAAAAGCTCAAGACAATAGTAAACACACTGTCATTACTTCGTACAGACAAGCACGTCGATACACCTAGTCCGTGCTAATCAGATTTTGGTCAGGGAAAATATCACAAGTGGAAAGAGAAGTTATTTGGTATTTGCGGGGCTGAAAGGGGGGGGGGTTATAACTGCTGTTCATAAGCTATAATTGTAAATTGTCCATCTACATGTAGCTCTTATATACATTATATACAAAGTCGGTTTGCGTCGAAAAATTCATTTGTCAATTATAACTGATAATTGTAGTACTAATATCAAATCTAAACCAAGTAATTTGATGTACGGCAATTATTTACTTCAGATCTTAAAAGCAATTCACCAGAATAAATTTTTTATGTGTACATAGATCTATACGTTCTTTAACACACAAACACACGAAGAAATGCCATCCCCTGTTCAGATTGACATTTAGGCATTTTATTTTTTTAGGTGGGGGGTGCAAAAATAATTGACATGACCGTTATCTTAATATTCTTGGAAGACGGACATCTCTTCTGAATTTAATTTTGAAAATTTATTATAAATGTGTCACTCCGACCACAATGTATGTGCATTTGAGGTATGTGTAAATGTTTTATAATTATGGTGTTTTTGAGAGGCTTTCGAGATTTCAGTATCCCTGCCTGATAGTCTAGCTACTTTTTTTATACTTAAAAATAATTTCTGTAGAAGTATCTGGGAGATAATTCTAAAAGCTAAGTTAGGGAGTTTTGACATTGGTTGAATACGGATAATTTTTATTTATTAATTGTATATTGAACTAACTCTCTTTTTCTCTCCATCCCTGTCTCTCTCATTGAAATCATCTCTTAGGTCAATAATAGCCACTTTGTGCTGTCCATTTATTAACCCTTAGGACAGATCAAGGTTTTTTTTTCAGGCGGGATGTCGAAACTTCATAAATTGAAAAATAATTTTAATTTAGACGAGCAGTTAATCTGAACGGCCAAATTGAAAGAGAAACTAGAGGTATTGTGAGCAATGAGCGCACTAAATGATACCCCCGCCGCCCATAGGTTATAATGGCAAAGTCCATATTTTGCTGTTGTCGCAAAACCCAAATTACGTTTCGGATCAAAAAGTAAAATAGGAGGTGCACAATGGTAATATGTAATATGCCTAAAAGATTCTGTGAAAGTTTTATTTAATTTCACAAAGTAGTATAAGAGGATTTGCGGATAGGAGATGGGTACCCCAATGCGTAGCAGACCTACGGACGGACATAACTATTACTATATACCCTCCCACTTTTCAAGCGGGAGATACATGTATAATAAACGTGAAATATACATCACAGGAATTGTACATCGGGAACTTTCTCAAATACCTTCTCAAACGCATTGGCGTCGGAAGCAAATTGAAAGGGGGGGGGGGGGGGCTAAGTGCAAAGAATTTTTTTTCAAACATTCAAAAAAATCTGACAAGCTTAAAAAAGGGGGAAATGTCCTTTTCCTAAACACATGCATATATCCTATTTCGTGTGGGGGAAAGGGGGGTTGAACTTCAGTAACAACATTTTTTCTCCACACACCAACACTTTCCTCTTTTTTAACTTATACTGCGACTTGTGTGAAAAGCGAGGGGGGGGGGGGGGGGGCAAACCTACGCAGCAATATTCAATGTCTATACAAAGTATATATTAGGAAAAAAAAACCGGTTCCGACACTTAAATGGCTAAATGCTGAATCTGGACAACAAACAAGAGAATTTTTAACAAGAGAATTTTCAAAAAGCTAATTGTAGGTAGAATGTGGAATTCTCACGGGGGGGGGGGGTCCTCTGTCTTTTTCTCTGCTTTTTCTAGTAATCATTAATTATTTATGTCTAGAAATTCAATTCACATTAAATTCTATTTTCATTATCATTGTACCACAGAATCAAACTCATTTATTATACCCTTCGCAACAAGTTGCGTGAGGTTTAATGTTTTGGACCCATCAGTCAGCCCTTTTTTTTGGTCAGCGCAACTTCTTACAAACTAATGCACACGTCAGAGTTTTGTTGAACTATGCTGATATTCATAGGAGTCAATGTGTCTGTTTTTGTACATCACCAGGAAATTCTGAAATCTTTACTTTTTCGGGAATTTCCGCACTTTTACATTTTGATTTTTGCCATATCTTGAATATAAAGATGAGTAGTTTGTCAGCACAATTCCTCATAAACCGGTGCAAACAATTTCGTCAAACTTAGCAGATAATTAGGACACAATGTGTATAGATTTGCATATCACAAGGAAATTACGATTCCCTTATTTTTTCTGTGAATTTCAGCACTTCGACTTTTGTGGGAGAGTGGGGTATGTGAATTTGCTCACTTTTTCTTTCATTGTGCATAAAATTATAAATTACTTTAAATCAAATTAATATATTAGGTCTAATAAAGCCAATACACAGTATTTTTTTAATTATATTTGATAATAAAGAAATCCGGTCTGTTTCAGACGTTTTTCTTTAAATATTTTTATGAGAGTGTTATGCGTGTTTTATTAGCCCCCCCCCTTTTTTTTTACAGGAAATATCTTCATATCTCCAAAAGGTGAATGATTCGAATTAATGCATGCTTTATTATAAATTTGATGAAGTTAAACCATGTTTCAAAAATTTTATTTACACCATTTACAGACAAAAATAATGTTTATTCTTGAAAAAAAAATTATTTTCATTTTCTTTAGTCAACCCCACAGCGCTTTCAACCTTTGATATTTTCCCTGACCAAATAAAATGA